TAGTCAGGCCCTGGGTGTTCTAACATGACTGTCATGCTTAACCCCCACCACGATGCAGAAAATGGGATGGGAGGAGACTGAAAAGCTTGACAAAGCTCACACCCAGAAGCAGTGCAGTGGAGACTCAAGATCAGCACTCACTCCCCCCACCCCTTCCCTTGGCCGCAGTGCTTTTCCGCTCGTGAACAAAACTTGCCTCTTTCCTTCTTCAACCAGGCAGCCATTCGACTATACCACTCTCCCTTCACCCAGTTTCATCATTAGGGAGAAGAAATGTATTAGCGTCACACATCTCGGAGCTAAGGAAGTAGGGACATCTTGGTCATCGAAACCTCAGGAATATGTGAGGTTTTAAGCCCAGACCTTGTGCTGTGGCTGGCGGGGGAGCTAGGGGTGGGCCTGGGCTTTATGGGTGCCCCCAGCTTGGCCCTGGAAAGTCTAGGTGAAGGGCGGGGGGAGATGGAGGCTGTGGGGCGGCTCCAGTGCGGAGGGCAGCCCCATGTGCTCTGGGCTTTAAGAGCTGAGGCATTTTGTGCTGAACCAAGAACGTTCCCACTTAGCTAATTGAATGTCCTTGCTGCACACTGTGGTGCACCTCAGCAGGGGACAAACCTCATCTGATGTGCACACAAACTGAAAAGAGAAAATGGCGTTGGAGGGTTTAATGGAGCAGACAGTGCTGCAATCCCAGGGCAACTCCAAAGCCTGGGTCAACATTCAGGCTCTCAGCCAAAGAGGGAAACTGCTGTGAGTCAGCAGCCTGTCCCATTTTCCCCTGAGGCCCAGGGGCTTCCATTAAATGCTTCGGTGTCCTGATTACTGAGGGGAGGGAGGCTGAAGGAAAACCACCATCTCTGTGCTCTCTCTTCTCTCACAGGGATCCCAGAAGCTGGAAGGAACTGGTCACAGGGGAGGTGGCCGGCAGGAAAGGTGATGACATTCAAACACTCTGCCTCCTAAGGCCGTGTCCGAGTGGGCGAGGTAATTTTCTGTTGGGAACCTTCACATGTTGGTGACTGCCTGCGGGGAAATCTTCAGCCCCGCCAGCAACTGCGTGAAGGTAAAGCACCATCATGATCCGATGCTGGTCCAGGGACGAGGCCTCGGCGGCCTGGGTGGATCCCTCTGCCCATCAGCAGACCCTGGCCACAGCCCACATGTTAATTCAGGAGCCCTTGCAGCAGTCCAAACCCCCTTCTGGCCTTGTCTAACTTTGTAAGAATCCTTCCAGATTTCCTTTCCCATCCTTAGTGACCACTCACAGTCTCTTTGCGTAAGAAGTTTGTCTGGAGTTGGAATGCAAGTCTCCAGTGTCTCGATATCAGGCTCAGGGCTTTGTGCACTGACTGTTCTGCCACAACAGCAGAAAGGCAACACCACAAACACCTTCTCATCTGCATCACTTGTCATTTGAATTGCTTGCAGTGCGGACGCCAGTTTTTGATTCTTTCCCTCTAGCACAAATCCTGCTCCCGGTGTGAGGAGGGCCAGTCCCTGGCTCTGAGTCGCTTTATGATGCTCCCAAATTCCTCTCCTGCTGGCTGAAAACTCCATATGCTATCCAGGTGGTGGTGCTCAGAGGCCTCCTGAATGAAAGAGGATGGAGGGCCAGGACCCACATACTCTTATTTTTCTATGGGCTGTGACATCATTTACACAACAGAGAATTTCAGAGGGAAAAGGGAAAGCTTTTCGTTTTTTCAGAGGCTGCAGGGAGAGTGGATGGACTTAAGAGCTCTTGTCTGTTTTAATTAAAGTAAAAAGATGCGGTGTTGAGAAGTTAGAGCAAGACGTCAAAGTTACTTTGTAAGTGATTCTAAGCTACATAAGCTAGAAAGCCCTTTAGCCTGGATGAAACCAACAATATGGAAACCTAAACAAGCACTGAATAAGTCAACCATGCCAGTCAGGCTCACTCTTCTTTTTGCTCCCATTTACAGCCCTCCCTGTACATACATATGAAGTTCTAGGGGCTTCCCAGGTTACCCCCTGGGAGAGGTAGGAAGCGGAAGAGTCTCAAAACTGGCTGCAGAGAACCAGCTTTAAATGGCTTTAAAAACCATCCACGCGGAGTCCCCAACCCAAATGATCAGATTCGACTGATCTGGGGTAGGACCCAAGCATGGATATTTTCAGAGGGTAACGGAAGTGGTAAACTTTTATGAAAAAGTATTTATAAAAAAAAAAGCGTAACATCCATATAGTGACGTACGCAAATCTTAAGTATCCAGCTTAATGCATTTTTATAAATGAATACACCCTCCCCCACACCAAGATACAAAACATCATCATGCCCTAGAAGCCTCAACACAGGATTTTTAAAACTAAGTTCTTTTCTGAAATCATTAAAACTCTTCAAGTTGCGAGAGCATAACAACGAACTCAGCAAGGGTATTTAAAAGTCTCCCCTGTTGATTTTAATATATGGACAGGCTTGTTTGCATTAATTGTTGCTTTTGCCACATTTCTGGCCATGCAAAGCCTTCAATGAGGCATGGGTGTAAGGTTTTAACATTCTGTTACTGATTTCTTAACCAGGTCATTATTTCTCAAGGTTCCTTTAACATAGAAATTAATGTCAGCCTCAGATACACTTAATTTTGTTATATTGTCATTGGTTTTTTGCTAACTTTTTATGAATTGTTTATGATTCACAGCCTCAGCTCTTTCCAGTTATGTATGGACTAGGCAGCCCTTTTTGCCATAAAAAAGAATATCTTATGTGTGCTTGAGAAAAATAAAGGTGAGATTACACTCATTCTTTGTGGGTCAGCCACTGGCTGATGGTTTGCAAGTCTGGGGGCAAAATCTGGAGCCTGCCATAGCTTGAGGGTAGGGATGTGTGAAAGGCAGGAGTCTGAGGAACTAAATACCTAGTGAGAAAAAACAAAAACAAAAACAAAAACAAAAGCAATCATGCCCAGGCCTGGCGGAAATGTGCAGACTGCAGAAGCCAGTCTGAGTTACGAGCTTAGGGAGACCAGCAGGAGGAATTCTGACATAGGATGGGAAGGGGACCAGGGAGGAGACAGCAGAAACCCCGGAGCCAAGGAGCTGTGCTGCCATCAGAGGCTGAGACACAGGCTGGCCTCAGAAGGAAGCCAGCTGCCGAGTACAGCTGTCAGCAGTAACAGAGCTGGCGGGTGGGGCCGCAACCGCGTCCACCTGGATGAGGCACCTTATTCTCATTTGCACAAGGGTTGCATGTGGACTAGGGAGGCTCCAGGAGCAATGCTGAGTAACGCTGGCTCTGCACAGGCTCGGCATCTCCTTTTTTTCTCCTTACACAGAGTTCCTAAGAAGCAATTCTTTTTTTTTTTTTTTAAGATTTTATTTATTTACTTCAGAGAGAGAGAGAGGAGAGGGGGAGGGACAGAGGGGGAGGGAGAAGCGGACTCCCCGCTGAGCAAGGATTCTGATGTGGGACTCGATCCCAGGACTCTGGGATCATGACCTGAGCCAAAGGCAGACGCTTCACCGACTGAGCCACCCAGGCGCCCTGAAGCAATTCTTTACATGGCAGCTGAGTGGCTTTTCCATTCAAAACAGCCAGCTAGGTGGGGCGGCAGCTAGATGCCCGCCTACACAGAGGCAAGTTCTGAGGGTGGCTGAGGTTGTCAGGGCCCGGACAAAGAAGGAGAATCACCTGTAATTCCTTGGATGGTGGGAGAAGACAAGCCTTATGGTGGACATGAGTAACTGCCTGTGTGAGGGTATCTCTGGCCCTGAACTGACCAGAGTTTAAAAAAGGAAAACCCATCACTTGAGCTTGGCACGCCACACTCAACTTAAGGGTTTGGCAAAGAAAAGTTCTCTTTAGGCCAAGTAACCTATTCCTTATGTCTTCCTTGTTATTGTTATATACAATTTTGATTTGCATGTAACTTTTTAGGTTTATTAAAAGAAAGAGTGTGACAAACATGAATTTTGTAACTCAGTACGATAAAACAAACTACAGTGCATTTGAATACTAAAGTCTACATCTTGTCTTTGATTTCAGCAATGAATCAAATTTACCCATCATTGTTCCCTACCAGAACTAGGTTTTATAGTGAAAATTGCTCCACTATAAAACAAAAGCAGGAAAAAAGGAAAATGACCCAAAAGTGAATTTTTGAAATCTAATTTTTTACCCGATGATCAATTAGATTTTAGGTTGAACAAAAAGTGAGTTTTTAAGGTCCACATGTGGTTTTAATTTACACAATATTGATAATCTGTAAACTTCAACATGTTTGCTCTCTCCCTCTCTCTCTCTCACACAGACACACACAATCAGAACACCTCCCCTCCCCTTTGCCTTATATATTGAATTTGGTTCCTGGATTCTGTGAACCTCTCCCTGCATTTCACTGTTTGTGGGTGAAGCACCTGGAAGTTCCTGGCTTCTAAGCAGGACAAAGCTTACTGCCCAGAAACAGGAGACCTTTAAGTGTTCAGAGATGGCAGGAACAGCAAGTGCTTAGAAGAAACTGTGGAGGGATCCGGGCAGCAAGGACAGTCGAATCACCTCTTAAGCTCCGCAAACAGATGGTCCATGACAAGACAGGATTCTTCCTGCTCTCATCCTGGTTCTGAGCTGCCAGCAGAGGCGGGGCTGACGTGGGGTTGAGCTTTGGACTGGACCCAGAGGGGATGGAGAAAGGCACTTGCGTGTGCTGGATGTGTATGACAGTCCCCCAAACAACAGTAAGTCCTGTTGCCTCATATGCTGATTATGACCTGTGTCTCCTCTCATGTCCATTTGGGTGGGGACCCCAGAGTTGATAGCACACAGAAAGCCAATGAAAGTGAGCACTTGAAAAACAGCAAAAGGCAATAATATTCCTACAGGACCACTGGCTCTCTGTACTAGAGGTAAATCCTAGATAATACAAACGGGAAAAACTTGATCATGCCAGTGTCATTCTCAAACCAGCATTTACAAGACAGGAAAGGGACAGAATGGAGGCTGAAGTAAAATAAGATGGCTGCCGGCTCGCGTCAGGCCAGCCTCTTACCATAATACGGGATGATGGCCCAGGCCATGGCAGAGGCGTAGATGCCACCAACCATCCAGAACATGCAGAGCCAGCTCAGATGCTCCCCCCGCTTCTCTCGGGCCAGCACTTCAGCAAAGTAGGAGAACACTGTGGGAATGGCTCCGCCGATCCTGCCAAGAGGGACAGAGAATACCTGAAATCAGAGCCAGGATAGCTATGGGAGCTGCAAAGGGCAGAACCAAAGCAAGCTCTAACAACACACGCTCTCTCTCTATCCCAGCGTATCCAGAGATGTATATTTTCTATCATTTTAGAACTTTAATATTATAATCTGCTTAATATAGGGTTACTATCCCTCCAGAACCTGCAATTAAGGGATGTTACCAAAAGGTGGCAGCGGCGCCCTAGTCATGGGGTTTATAGAGCTTACCTTGCATAAGAATCTGAGGGGCTTTCCACTCAGGGTTGAATGTTCTACGTATTTGCAAAAATTACAGTATTGGGTCTAATCTAGTCAATATTTTAATGAACACATTTTTAAAACGAGAGACTAGGCTATGTCCTACCCATGACATGGTGACTTTGGAAAGAACTTCAAACATTTCTGGGAGGCTGTCTGCCCTGTTACCCTGCAGCAGCTGGTCCTGCAGCCCAGTCAGGCTGTTGTGCTGATGGACACAGGCCCAATGGGGATGCTCCCTGGACTGCTCTGGTCTCAACCCAGTAGATCTCACTGCTGCCTCAGTACATGTCTATGCGCACTGGTAGAATCAAATAAGCTGCTGCTGGTTTCCATACCAACAGAACAGGGTACAATGTTTCCTTCCAGTAGGGTAACTCTAAGGGATGCTGACATGAACAGTGACTTCCACTCAGGTTAAGGGTTCTCCAGTGAGGGTCTATGGAATAAATATTTTGTTCATTCTAGGCAGATGGGCCTTAGATCTCATCCAAATTTCAAACAGATCTTGTCCACCAATTTTCAAAAAACACTGTCTCAGAAAGTAGGATAGAATGAGAAAACATTACTTACCATCATTCCAAACAGTATATGATTTCTTAAATATTTTTTGAAAGATGTACGACAATATACACAAACAAGTTACAGAGAAAACACTTAGCAATACAGCTTTAAAAATATGTGCCGATTCCTTTATGTTCAGATTTCCATAAGGTAAATTGCTATTGACATTTCATGTCAAGAAGTAAAACATGTATTTATGCAGTTAGCAATAACTGATTTCCTCAGAGCCTTTGACGTGATAAAGAAGTATTGGCAGTGACCTTAGCAAATGAAATTTAAAGAAAGGCCTTATCTGTAGCAAACTGGGTGTACCAATCGAATCACGGGATTCATAATGTCATTCTGCATCAAATGGTAGGTCAAAATATAGCACCACTTCATTCATTTGCCCCTGCTTAAAGTGATACGGTGGTTATCTACTGCTAGATATGGGCAGATCACTTAGGCCAATGCTTTTCAATCTGTGGGCTATGAAATTAATTTAGTAGCTATAAACAGAATTTTAAAAATTGAAATAGAGATGAAAATGGTTACATACAACTCAAGTAATAAGGATGAGTAACATTTCTTTAAACTTTTGTCTTCATGACGAACATATTTATAATGTAGAAAGTACATACGTATATGCATATACGTGTCTACATATAAATTTATATATAAACAAATATGTATATAAATGTATATTGTTTCTTAGTGGGAATTGCTATTGTGTTTCTTAGTGGGAATTGCTATTCAAAGACTTGAAAAAAGACTAGCTTGAAGCATCTATATCTGCTCCCCTGGGCCATGAATGTGGCAGTTCTACCCCAAAATTCCTAAGCTCCACGTGACCTCAGATATAGCACGTGGCGATTTGGCGCCATCACACTAGGGGTAGCCAAGCAGTCCAAGGTCATCAAGTGGACCCCCCACACAAGAAAGAAATGCATGTGGTGGGCAGTCAGAGCTGGCTCTATCCCACACCACATCAGACTCCCACAGTTCTCTCCCTGGCTTCTCAAGGACCAGAAACCATGGACAGCTGGCTGAATTTTAAAATTCCACAAAGCTCTGAACAGATTTAAAGTGGTTTCATTACAACACACAATTTTAATAGGAAATAAAATGGCTGTGTCATAAATCATTTAATGCTCCTGCTTTTTTCATTTGATGTGAAGAATCCGTTTCTCTGCATCATAAAGTCCCAGGTCCCTAACCTATGACTTCACTTCTCAATGCATAAAAAGAGTCCCGGTTTTTATGGACTTTTCACATCCTAATTAATGTTTCATCAGGATTCTGGACATTCCATATGTTAAGAGCTATCACTCACACTTCATGAAGGCACAATTGCATGTACGATATGCCAGGCCACTCGGAAACGAGATAAATGTACTCTGGGGCGGCTAAAGTGGCAAGTGGAAGACTGTAGACTTGCCTGTTGGCTTACACAAATTATTGTTGTGTAAAAGAATACCAACTTTTAGGGGAATATAAGCAATCCAGCTGGTTCTGATTCAACGCCTCTTTTTCAAGGTGGTTATTTTTGCATGGATATCCCGCAATATCTGTTTGCAAAGCAGATCGCAAAGAACTCTAATACCAATGGATAAATGAGTCTGAAGAATGAGAGAGGGAGTCTATTGAAATCCTTTGCAAAGTTCTTCAGATTCAGAGCCCTACAAAACAATGCAAGCATTCATACTTCTCACTGTGGGCTGATCATCCATTTTAGGGAAAACATTACTCCTCGTGTTACTGTGACAGCCTTTAAGCAGAAAAAAACATTGCAGCCTGCTGTAATGTTAACTATTAGTAGTGTTTCATACAGCGGCAGAGATCTTAAACATTGTTTACACCAGACTGAAGGCTCCGTGAGGGTGAGGACTATATCCCATTCGCCTCCGAATCCCCATCACCTGGCCCACAGGACATGCACTCAGTCCTCCTCAAAAGAGCTGGATTGCTCTGCTGATGGAGGTGCCACTCCAAATGGACTGGAGTAACTTGTTCTGAGGACCTAAAGATCTCCCATGAATGGAAACATACATCTTATGTTCTGGGTCAATGTAATTATGAGAGAAGTTGTGGGTGCTGGAATGGAGGTTCCAATAAGCAACAGAGTCCCCAAAGAGTTCCTGAAATCAGTCTATGTCTGAGGTGTATGGGCACCTTTTGACCAGGTGCCCTGGTGAGAAAAGTTACTTGGAACCCCTGGGCATAAGACACCGTGCAACCCTGTTCGGCACTCTAGGAACTTCCAAAATACCTTGGTACCTTAAAGAAAATTGCTGCAGAATGCTATAATTACCAACAATAAAAATTCAGATAAGAGATAACGCATAAGTTTTCATCACAATATGATTTTGTTCAAACTTTAAGTATTGAAGATAGGAAAAAGGTGCCCCCCCATTTTTGTAAGTAAAAAAAAAAGTTCTCATTGTTCTACATCAATAGTTCAGTATTTTGTGTGAGGGGCTATGCATTTTCTGAATTGTTGTATTGTATCAAGATAAAATTTCTGAGAATACATGAAGAGATAACAAATATTTGAACAGCAGTTCTCGAAGTCCCACGTATCAGTGGTTCTTAAATACAGTTGATGGTGTTCTCCCCGTCCCAACAGACGTTTGGCAATGGCTGGATACATCTTTAGCTGTCACAACCCAGGAGGTGCAACTGGCATAATAAGTAGAGGCCAAGGATGCTGCTGAAAGTCCTAAAATACACAAGACAGCTCCTTGCAACAAAGAATTATCTATCTGAAGATATTAATAGTGCTGAGATTGAGAAACTCTTGTAATGGCGATTTAATATGGAAAATATACCTTGTTTTATACTAAAAATTCGTAATATAAGGCATGAAATGGTTATCTTTTACATTACCTGATATGTAATATATCTCTAAATCCAGTTAGCACAGAGACCTTTTTATTGTTCATTATATAATGATCAGTTAGCTACTGTTGAAATTTTCTCAAGTTCATTTTTGATGGAATGTTTACATAATGAAGCCATCAGATCAGGGTGGTTTGTAAAGAATTTTTCTCAGGATCAGATATTAAGTCTATTTTATTAACTGTCAAAAAGGGTCAAATATTAATTATCTTCGGTAAAAGGAGGAATAGAGGGAATAATAATTGAAATCCACACTCTATAGAGGTGGAGGATTAGCCAAATTCAAAATAATTGAATTGATACAACTGAAACAGAGCACTGATATTTGGAATTTCAGAGTTGGAGTTATTCTTAAGTAAGATTAAGGTTACATTTTTACAACTGTAATTGTAGAAATATAAAGAAATTTAAAAAAATGTATCAAAACACATTCTAGAATAAGTTGGGACCACTCTCCAACTCCACTCTCCAGCTCACATGTGCACACACACACACACACACACACACACACCTCAAAAGGCCTACATATGGCAGGCGAGAATTCTACCACTGAACCACCAATGCTGACATAAAAGGCCTACATATGACTCAATACTAGGCGTCTGGTGAATATCACGAAACATATTTATTTCCCTCAGTAATCTAAGGCAAATTCACAAGTGGGATATTGTGTAAGGCAAAGGGTATGTCAGCTTTACAGACACAGCTTCTCTGTTGGGAACATGAGACATAAGCGTAAGTCCGTTTAGCGTTGCAGGATGAAAGAGAATGCCAAATACTACTGTCTGCACAAACTTCACTGAGAAACTGGGAAGCCCGACTGTTGGAAGGTGGCAAATTTCACTGCCACACCTCCCATTACCCCCGTGCAGATGGCAACTCTGGTGGACTACGTTTGTCCCCGTACCTCACCATACTGACTCACGCTGGCTATTGAGGCAAAGACAGGGAAGGGCTCAGGGTTCTGCAGTGAAAGAGGGAGGCCGTGGATAAAAAGAGCAGTTGGACTTAAAATGGCTTGAACTATGAGAGTTTAGAGGAGAAACTGTGGAATGTCTGATGACTTCTCCCAAGGAGGGGTTCTCCTGAGTGATTCTGTTCTGCCGAAATTCCCCAGTAAGCATGTAACAAAGAATACTTTCATTCTAACTTATTTCACCATGTGACTGTCAAACAGTCTTTCACCTCAATCTTCTATCTCCCATTTCCATTGGGAAGTGGGGCGTTATGGGAGGACAGAATTAAGGAGGAAGTGAATATGTGTTGTAA